GGGCTATAGTGGGGAGTTTTAGGCAGTTCCCTTGCTCTGGGATCAACAAGAATGGGCAGGATCGTGGAGGTCAGGGCTATTTCTTTAGCTGTCCTGTCAGCCAGATTATTTCCCTTCTGGGTGGGGTTGTTTCCTTTTTGGTGACCTGGGCAGTGGATTACGGCTAGTTTTGTTGGGCCCCAGAGGGCTTGCAGGAGGTCTAAGATCTCTTGTTTATTTTTAATAGTCTTTCCCTCTGCAGTAAGGAGGCCCCTCTCTTGATAGATGGCCCCGTGAATATGGGCAGTGGAAAATGCATATCTGCTATCTGTGTAGATGTTGAGTCTCTTTCCTTTACCCATCTTTAGGGCTTTGGTAAGCACGATCAGTTCAGCTTTTGGGGCTGATGTACCTATTGGCAGTGGCTTGGCCCAAATGACTCTCGAGGTGTTTGTGACTGCTCCCCCAGCATGCCTTTTACCATTCCTGATGAAGCTGCTTCCATCCGTGTACCAGGTTTCTTTGACGTCAGGCAAAGGAAGGTCTTTCAGGTCAGGTCTGATGCAATGCACCTGTGCCAGAATTTCAGTACAGTTGTGGAGTGGGTCCCCGAGGTCGGGATCTGGCAACAGTGTGGCTGGGTTCAGGGCCATTGGTACCTGGAAGGTGATCCTGGGCGGATTTAGGAGCAGAGCCTGATAATGAGTTAATCAGGCATTGCTCAACCATCGATCAGGGGGTTGCTTGAGCACCCCTTCAAGGGCATGAGGGCTCTCTTTGGGCCCTTGTCTGACATCATAGACCTTAGACATATTGGCGGGTTTTCGAGCCGCCATTTTGAGACCCACTAACAGAGTCTGGTGGTAGACCAGGAGCCTCTCCTTACCTTCTGCCATGTTGTAGTCCCAGTTGGGATGGCTAGGGGGAAAGCTGGCATTAATGATGCCTGGGTCTGTGGTAGGGTCCCCGGTGGGGCCCGGAACCAATTTCCGGGCTGCCTCCAGGATCCTGTTTCACTCCTCAGTAGTGAACAGGACACTCAGGAGCTGGTGGCAATCATTCCCGGTGGACTGGTGAGTGAAGAGAATAGTTTCCAATAAGTTAATCAACTCCCTGGGGTTTTCAGAGAGAGGCGCATTCTGTGAGCACCAATTGTAAAGATCACTGGTGGCCAAGGGCCAGTAATGAAAGGGCTAATTGCACTCTCCATCTGGGGGCCCTGCCGGAGATGGGCCACCCCCCTCCAGCTCCGTGTGGCCTGCACAGTTCCCTGTGGAAGCAATGGTGGCTCCTCAGGGTTAGGAGGCGGAGCCTACACTTGTGGTGTCGTTGACGGGGTGCCCGTCTTAGAGGAGTAGGGCTGGGGAAAGATGCCGTTCTCCTCTGTGCCTCCCTGGAGAATGGGTTTCTCTTCTGCCTTTGGTCTTTGAGGGAGGACCTGCAGAGGTGGAGGGGGAGCAGTTGGATTAATCAGGGGAAGGTAGGACTTGACCCAGGCTGGGGGGGCCATCAGGTTGTTCGATGAGACCTTGCCAGGTGATGATGTATGGGATCTGGTCCTGGTCTCCCGTCTGTGGGCGGAAGACGTGGTCCTGTACCCTGGAAATCAAACTCAGGTTAAAAGTCCCTTCAGGGGGCCATCCAACATTGAAAGAGGGCCAATCAACCGAACATAAAGTTGTCCATTTCTTTTTCTTTACATCTACACTATTGTTATGGACAATCGTCTTACCGTCCCCCCAGTGGACTAGTGTAAGATCTAGAGGGGAAGATGGGGTGTTTCCCATAGTATTTATCAGTCCCATCCGTTTCGTGTGGATTCCCTGGCTCGATTGTGCCAAAGAGCATACGGATAGGACTCGTGTGTCCCAAGAGGGTCGCGAGGTCCTCTGATTTTTCAGATGGACTAGTGTCCTGGTGGGGTGTCCGGTGGTGAACACCCATTCCAACGAGGATGGGGACGTCTTCCCAAATCCTCCACGTCGCCTTGCTAGCATTCCAGCAACAAAAAACTGAGATCAGATGGCCGTGACCAAAGGGAAAGTATAGAAAAGACACGAGGACAGAAAGACAGGTGGACAAACATGGTTTTACAACAACTTTCCCGGCCGG